TATTCACATTACTAATTACCCTTAAATCATTACTTGAGTCTCCTTAATTAAAAGAATTACTGTAATTACCTTGTGTCATCAAATGTCATAACTATCACCACCATGAGTGATAAAGTCATGATAATTACCTTTAACCATTAAAAGTTCCTGATATTACCTGAGGCATTAAGTTATACCAATTAACTCATTAAAACTCCTAATAATTGGCCTTGGAACATTAAAAGTCACTCTAATTGTCTATTATCATTAAAACAAAGTAACAGTGTAATATATTCTCATCTTACCGTCTTGAAAAACATTAAAAAATAAACGTGGACAATTGTTAGGATTTAAATGAACACCACACGAGAGCTTGAGCTGATATGAATCTCTCAAACCTTGCTTCACTGTCTCATCTCTTCTGGTTATATTCATCATTTTACCAACAATAACATTTAGCTTTTTTTTTGTCTGATATACTTTGACTTAATGCAAATTCCCTCTTGAATAATAATTTGATGAAGTATTCTTGAATCCTGTCATCCTTTACCAGCGTGATCTTTTGTGGGAATATAAGATCTTGTGTTGTTAATCGGATTATAAGAAATAAGACCGGGCATTGGGAAATAGTTTAAATATGATGAAATATTTATAATTGAACTATTAATATGTAATCCTTACTGTATTTATTGCTTTAACTAGTAATATGCTTTTAAGTTAACACATCTCTTTGAGTTAAGTATAAGTTAAGATACTCTTAAGGCGTCCTCTACACTTTGGAAACTAATCTATAAAATATGGACGTTAACTTTCCCCCTTGTAAGACTTGTAAATCAATTAAGGTGTTAAGAGTGTTCATTAGACAAAGTTTGGTGCTTAACTGAGAAACATTTACTAAAGTTAAGCCTTACCCTCGACAATCTGTCTCACTTTAAAAAGCTGTTTTTCCGGCATCTTCGTGGTGTAGATTAATACAGTATAACCCTTTTTTCCTATATTTACAATTTCTTTCCGTTCGTTTTTTTTTTTGCCCCCCCAGGCCTTTTTTGTGGGTGGTTCGACCTGTGTCCGGGTGGGCTAATTCCCGTAAAAAGAAAAAATCTTACCTCCTGTATTATTTTTTCTTGAGAGAAGACTTACTTAAAGGTAAAATTAATACGTCGATGAAATAAAGTAAGAGTCTGTTATTGGTGATATAATCGCCCCCGAACAGAGAGAGAGAGAGTGTAGTTGTTCCTTAACATTATCCATTCTCATATATCATCTGTACCAAATTGGGTGATTTTCTTTTTATTACATACAGAAATATTTGGATAATAGGCAACTGTTAAAATAATATAAGCTTACAGACACACACGAATACATACACACGGGTGCGCAAAAACACATTCAACGACAGACACAGAATAACACAAAACACAATGACAGAAACCAGACAGAAGACCCAATAGCAAACCTACACAATAATAATCACACAGCAGCAGATACACATACTTCCACCTACGACAGATACAGTTGTGAGCTTTAAGGAGAGTATGATACCGAGTCAAAACGAAACAGGATTTTAAGCAACATATTAATAATTCAGATTGTGTATAGTACAGGTCACCCAACCATGAATATCAATAATATCTATATCAAGCCATAAAATATCTCAATAAATACAAACTTTTTCGAAAACCATTTAGCAAAAAAAAATAGCAACTGTATTTTTATTCTGTAAACGGAACACAACAATAGGTAAAATCGCAAAATGTACAACACTATCACTAACAGAGACAATATAAGGTAATCCGTCTAAAGGTATTTTTCATAACACTTATACGTCATTTGTTGAACAATGTGCCAACATAACCTGCACCATTCATGTCAGTATATATTGCTTGTTACATTTTCCTCCCACACTAAACCAATGATCCTGTGACCGACGACTAAGCCTCACCTGACCGTTATTTAACCGTCGCTTGACCATTATGTAACTGACGTAGATTCAGTTAACAATTTATTCCTCTCGGCTATTGTAACAGAACCTTCAACACACTAACCCGAGAACTGCGACACACATTACTCATTATGATGGAACGCAAGTTTTAAAGCTTCACGTGTGTGGGGAGGTCAATGGGGGGCGTGGATTAGGGTATGGAGGCGTGGGGAGGCGTGTGAGCATGGGGAGGCATATAGAGGGTGTGGGGGCGTGGAGAGGAGTGTAGGACGCGTGGAGAGGCGTGTAGGGGGCGTGGAGAAGCGTGTAGGGGTGTGGAGTGGCGTGTATAGGGCGTGGGGAGGCGTGTAAGGGGCGTGTGGATTCATATTTGTTTGTTTTGTCCATACTTCTGCATGTGATCTTTAATGTCACAGGTGAATAATTTTTTTTTTTTTTTTAAATACCGTAATTTTTTGTACATGGGTTGTGTGCCCCGGGAAACATAATTGAGCAGTACATAACGAGGTAGGGAAGGAGAGGAGGGATGGTGTGTCCCAGACCTGGCCGGCCTCACACCGGCGCCCTCACCCACATCTGCCGCCCGGGCTTCCCCGGGAGGCAGGATGTTCTGCCACATATATCACCAACATTGTTCCTCCCTCCCGGCCCTGGTGTAGGGTGTTGCTGCCGGCACAGAGCAAGGACGAGCACACCGTCCATGACTAACTGGCTCCGTTTCTGGTGACTGACTGTTGCTTCCTGACTGTCGCCACCTGATTACTGATGGCTGATTCTTCCTTTGTAACTATTGGGCATGCTTATCACTATCAAGCTATCTGGCAGCAGCATCATCGTGTTAGGTTATGTCAAAACCCATAAGTAGGCTTCTGGTGAACGATGACGCGATAAAACTGACTTATACATCTTTACGTTTTATATATACAAACACATACTGTAGATCCATCAGTATTAGTGATATCCTAACGTCCGAAGGTTGGTGACCCTCCAGTTCAATCAGTTTTGCGGTGTCCTAATTAATCCTCCCATATTTCATACATTCACGAAGGCAGTTTTTAATTTAATTCGTCCTGCCAGTCTCTCTGCTTTCCACTAGTTCCTTCTTCTGTCTTAATTTATACACTACGAAACAATCACTTATTTTTCTGTGACTAACAAACCCGAATTAAATATTGAGGTAAAATGAAATGTGTTTTGATTTACAGGTTTTGACAAAATATAGAACAGTGGCTGCGCTTTATTGTTTGTTAATGATCACTTCACCGACAGTTCAGGGGCGAGAGTACAAATAAACCCTTGATTAAACGTTGAGTCCTTACATCAGGTTCATGATCACATTCGAGCTGAGTAGATGGATATGGCACCATGACTCAGTACACTCGGTCATCATTTTAAGTAGGACACATTTCACCACATACTGGTGATATTCAAAGAGCAACCTTTTTTTAAATTTGCTCCACTCTCTATAATGTCAGTAAATAGGCAAACATGTAATCTAATATTTGTGTGAAGATAAATATTTATTGAAACTTACCTGTAAAAGGTGTTTTAGCAGGTGGAGGTAGGCAGTATCACGACACACGAGGTAAACACAGGTGGTCGTACAGGTGCACGATGGTAACAACCCACTTGTTTACCTGGATGTTGACGCGTCTTGTTTCCCCACGCCTGGCTCCTCTATACTTGTTCCTCCCACGCCTGATCCCCTACGCCTGAACCCCACCCCTGCACCCCACCCCCACCCAAACCCCCCCACCCCTGCCTCTGCCTCCCACCCCTGCCCAACACCGTGGCTTGGAAATGTGCCCGAGCAATGGCTTCACGCAGTGCTCCTTGTGTTGGTGGCAGCGACTGGTACCGGGCTCGTATAGCGGGCATACAAATGCCTCGATGGCTCTCTGTGCCAGCAGTGAGCTCGGTGGAGGTCCCCAGGATAGCAAAGGCAGATAATACCTCGGGAGGACATCTGTTGAACGTCTGCTTACCAACATTTCTGCTTGTTTGATCAGTTCTAGAGCTGTGGGTATTCTGTGAAAATACTAGTAGGCTGTTACTTCATCTAGTTCACTTTTGGAATAGGACCGACTGGCTAGTAAACCTGATAATCGGACATATCCTACATGTACTTACACGCCATAGGTACATGCATAACAGTCCACAAACACACTTACCCTGTAGTCTGTCTCCCTTGATGCTCAATATGACCCTGGTGTCAGTGTAGCAAAACAACAGCAGACAGTGTACACATTAGATTAATATCTGCATGCTGTGTGGACAGACTTTTGAAATAAAGACAGCCATTAGTCTTTAAGTATTTGAACGTTATTAGAAGTGTTATATATTATAAACAGTTTTAACTCCATACTCCTTGGCATAAATAATGGTTAAGCAGCATTTTAGAAATTTTCAACCTATGCAATATTTTATTAGAATACATTTAGTTTTATTCCGAAATATGGCATAACAATCCATAAAGTTGCCAGATACCAGTTCCATTCCATCAAGAGTTTTAACGAGTCGACACCACTGCTTCTCCTAATTTACTCGTAAAATAATGAGATGAAAGAAGTTATTTGAAAGTGAAAACTATATCTGATTAATTATTACATATGCTTCTTGAGTCATCTTAGCAGAATATAATCATAACGATGTGTGGCGAAGAGGAGATGAAAGTACAGTAGCCCTTATGACGCTGGTAACTAATAACTTAACATGTAACATCATAATGACCCCACTTAACCTAATAACTCTACTGTACACCTATACACGATGAGGAGGGGAGAAAATGATGTAAGGAGAGAAAGAATAATATATGGGATAGAGAAAGATATACAAAACACCTCCTATCTCGAGTATGTAAGCGAGCCAATGAGCGCTGGGGTGAAAAGGCGGGATCCAGCCAACCTCAATACATCATACAGGTCATTGTCTTCGTGGTAGCTTATCATGATTGCCAGAGACTTCCACCACAATGGCTGATCGAACAAATATGGATAGTGACCTGAAGTTTAGGATTATTTCTCAACGCCCATACTAACCTACTACAAACTGGTCAGGATTATACAAAATATAAAGAAAATTTGGTTTAAAATTTTACTTATTTATCTCCTCTGTAATTAAAATACATTCACCAACAAGTGTTTAAATTTAAGGGCAAAACCGAATTGTTCCAATGCTTTTATTTTTCATGATTTTAATGGGATATTCTACACAAGTTTTATAACTGAATGAGGCCATACTACAATCCCTTACAACCTGTGGTGGGATCAAATTATTTTTGGATACATTCAACCGGTGTCTCAGTGTCTTCTGTGTAATGGTTGGTGGTGGTCTCTGTGACTAGGTTCTCTCCTGTAGCACCTGAGGATTGTGTCACTCCTGTAGCACCTGAGGATTGTGTCACTCCTGTAGCACCTGAGGATTGTGTCACTCCTGTAGCACCTGAGGATTGTGTCTCTCCTGTAGCACCTGAGGATTGTGTCACTCCTGTAGCACCTGAGGATTGTGTCACTCCTGTAGCACCTGAGGATTGTGTCACTCCTGTAGCACCTGAGGATTGTGTCTCTCCTGTAGCACCTGAGGATTGTGTCTCTCCTGTAGCACCTGAGGATTGTGTCACTCCTGTAGCACCTGAGGATTGTGTCACTCCTGTAGCACCTGAGGATTGTGTCACTCCTGTAGCACCTGAGGATTGTGTCACTCCTAGCACCTGAGTCACTCCTGTAGCAGGATTGTGTCACTCCTGTAGCACCTGATTGTGTCACCTTGTGTGTCACTCCTTAGCACCTGATTGTGTCCTCCTGTAGCACCTGTCACTGTCCTGTAGCACCTGGAGGATTGTGTCACCCTAGCACCTGAGGATTGTGTCACTCCTGTAGCACCTGAGGATTGTGTCACTCCTGTAGCACCTGAGGATTGTGTCCTGTAGCACCTGTAGCACCTGGAGGATTGTGTCCTGTCACCTGTCCTGTAGCACCTGAGGATTGTGTCACTCCTGTCCTGTAGCACCTGAGGATTGTGTCACTCCTGTAGCACCTGAGGATTGTGTCACTCCTGTAGCACCTGAGGATTGTGTCACTCCTGTAGCACCTGAGGATTGTGTCACTCCTGTAGCACCTGAGGATTGTGTCACTCCTGTAGCACCTGAGGATTGTGTCACCACTGTCGAAGATATGGTTGATGATCCACCACAAGCCTCCCTCTGTAGCTGTGACTGAAGGAGCTGAACATCTGTTGGGTGAGAGAGAGAGACGCCTTCAATATAGTGTTGACTTATTGTGCTGGCACTACTGTATGGTCAGCCACCACCACTTAGTCAGCCAGCAAGTGTTACCTAATATTGCCGACACTGCTACACGGTCAGCCAACAATTACTAATATGGCTAGTGAAGTTTTGACGTTATGAGGAGACGTGAGGAACCTAAACTCTACCTGGGTACTGGTAGTGACTTACCTGGCTCGTCATGCACGAGGGAGCAGGTCATGCTACCGTCCATGTTGTGTTCGACCATCACCATGAGGCCCAGCACAGCCAGACGACCATTACGTGTGTACACTGGGCCAGCTGCCACCATCTGCGAGTACAATAAAACTTAATACCAGCTGCCACCATCTGTCATTACGATCAATCACATTCCTACCAACTACTTACAATACCGCCAGCAACTACAAGAACAATCCAATCTTTATCACTACCATCATATGCCGGCAGACATGTTTGAGTCATGTTCAATATATTGTATTATTTCGCCACTCTCAGATACTTGGTCATCATCAAGCAACGAAAATTGGCTACATTTTTTCCTTAAATCATATGAAAATATTAATTGAATTATGCTTTCCCAGAATCAAATAAATTCTGCTGTAAATATTTAAGTAGACAGACCAGTAATTGTTGTATATAGTATTGTAGCCATCCGCCGTACACATAAAAGGTAAAAGTATTTAGATGGAAAACGTATGAAAATGTCTCTCGTTAGCCTGGAACCGTGTTGTAACCGGAGGAAATTATGAATAACTAACAATGGCACAGTAACTAAGTTGGCAGTTATGTTTGTTTTCGTATAATCACAATGTTAAGAATTTGTTTCAGACATGTTTTCCAACGTGATGTTTCCACGATATTAGTTGAGTGATAATCTCAACAAAAATGAATACATTTTTATCCTTATAATGCATAACCTTCATGATACTTTTACATGAACTGACGGACCACGCCGCCAAATCTCACACTACATGAGCATTGCAATTTCTGCAAAATAACTAATTCCTATGATCTGTCAAGTGTATTAAATAAATGTTATTAATTTAGGCTAGCTTGATTACATTTGAGTGTTTATAGTTTTTAACATTACAGAACATCTTTAACGTAAGACTTGAATATTTTGGTTATTTTAATAATATTTTTTATGTGGTATTGTCTGTGACACAAGACATCCTTCAACTAGGCTACACTACACTACAGCTTCAGTCTAACCCTTGGTGACTTAACATCCGCTCGGATGTTTTCAGCAGTTTATATTCTTCCGATAAATTTGGATAAAATGGCTGTACATTTCTTTATTATTTGTGTCAGGTTCAACTAGAAAAGTACTGTTGTTGAGATATCCTTTAATTACTGATGACCACACAAGTGGCATATTAGAATATTTTTGAGTAATAACGGTTGTACAATTTTTTATTTATTTTTTAATAATTTATCGTTTATTCCAATACTCTAATTCCAATCTACACATAAAATAGTTACTCGTGAAAAGTAACTATAAATTAATGTCAGGTCGATTGCAGTTACCCGAAGGAGAGGTAGTTACAATTTAAGAGAGTGAAAGCTTACCTGCAGTGTCTCTTCACAAGGAGCACAATTAACTTGAGGCTGGTCGAAGGAGAAGTCGAGCGTCACGGTGGACTGACACAAGGCGGCGCCTGACCCCTGTCGACCAGCCAGGCCCGCCTCGCTCACCACGCCCCCACACACCACCTGGACCAAGTATCAACACAAACTTCATTATCTTACATAAAGGTCAGGTAACACAGTGGCTATGACTCGGGTAAAGAATCAGATATACCAATTAGGCAGTAAATAGCTTTAAAGCAGGGACAAGAGTGAGTTGGTAATGAGCTAGGTCCTGTGAACTAGGCTGGGGTTTGTATTGAACTAGTTTCTGTGATATCTGCTAGGTTGGCAACGAGCTAGGTGCTATTAGTTACGCTCGAGTTAGTACCCAGCTAAGTAACGTGTGCGAAGTTCAGATTAGACCTGAGTTAGTTGCTGTGGTCTAGGCGGATAAGTTAGGGCATGAATTTGTTTAATGATCAGGTCAGGTGAGGCTAGAGGTCAGTTCTAGATCAAACTAGATTGTAGGGGACTCACCATGGCCAGGGAGACCAGGAGAACCAGCTGATGTACCCACATGTTGTCAGAGTCACAGTGTGTGTAGTGGTGAGCACACCTCCCCATACTTTATATACCCTCTGATATCCCCCCCCCCCCACCCCCCAGACCTCCTCTTAAGCCACTACTCACTCCCGCTACCATTGGGAGTGGAGGGGGGGGGGTGTCAGACGTAGCAACCTAATGATCAAAATTTATCATCTTCCTCTCATTACCACCTCCACACCTTATCTAGTGTTGAACCAAGAACACCCACAGCCATAGCCTCTACCACTAACACTTGCCCTAGTGTACTACCGCACAAAACAACCTGCATGACCCATTACAATCATTTTTTTAGCGAGTAAATTGGTTATAAATATTATGAAACGGACTCATATGCTTTTTGTGTGCGTACCTACAGCTAATAACAACATAGGTAATAATAGTTTTAAGGACGTTTTATTATTTACCTTTTTTATAGTAATGCATCATATTGTATTCTGTTTATAGTTTGCGAAAAAAGAAATTTGAAATTGAGTTTTACTGGGGGTTTTTGTAGCGCCATTGTAATAAAGCTATATGTCTTAATGCTCTTTTTTTTTATAAAACACAATGGGAAATTATAGAATCCCGCCGTCACAAGAAGAGTTCTATAGGTACTACACTCCGTTTACAGCTGGGTGGACTAGGAGACACCCGGGATCGAACCACCGACCCTTAGGACAGGGGTCGAGTATAGCATTAAGACTCGGACATCGGAAGTTATTAAGCTTCTATCGGCAATATGTTCAAACACACATAATGGTAATAAATTGAGACATTATAGCTGTATATTGATATCTATATCGGCTGTATATTAAGATTCTTATATCTGTAGTATATTATAGAAGGCAAGTCCAGGGGAAGTTATATGTAACTCTGCATGAGACACTGAGATGACTAGCCCAATACTTGGTCATTTGATAATTATACTCAACGAATTCTCAGAAATATTTATGTGCTGTACGTAGAAATGATTTGGCATTAGATATATCATGCCACAGTAGTTATGTTATACTAATTAATAGTGATTAAAAATACAGATTAATTTTTAACGTGGTTACTTATAACAACAAAAAAAGTTGCACAATATATTATTTAACAACGTGAAGGAAATTATCTTCAAAAGAACTACATCGTCTAGACTTAAAAATATTCTTAATATTATGTAGAAAAATTTAGTAATACAGAAATTAAAATAAATTATATCTTGTTTCCTGTTAAGAAAAGTGTTTATGGTAAGTGATGAAGGGGCTGTCAGGTCCTGTAGTATGTCAGTGTTTACCTGTTTACAGATGTTACGTTGGCGTTTATCACATGTAAACAAGTTTGAATCGGCTGACAAACTACCAGCTTAAGGAAGGTCGTCCAGGCCCCGTCACGTGTAGAGCCTCTACAAACAAGTCTGGTTTATTCAGTACTTTGAATCATTAAAGCCGGGTTGACCAGAGTAAAGTGGTACTAACGAAGTGCTATTTATCAGGGAAGAGATGGTGCGGCGTCACTGTAGAGCAAGAGTGTTTATATACACAGTTTACAGTAAGATACAGTACATTACAACACAGAAAAAATCAAGTAAATCGTTTATAACGTTTTTGTCCGGTAGATACGCTGTATATAGTAAAGTAACTACATATCATTTTATTTATTACATTTCGTTTTCATTGTGCATATTTTCTCCGTTACGACAGACACACCACTACTTGATAAGATCCATCGTCGAAGCTTAGATCCGGAATATTTTTCAGTGTTTCACAAATTCCCATCCGGAGATTTTCTCGGTGTGGGAACTAGACTCGTGGAATATCTGAACACGTATAATATTCTTCTGTGGAGAGCAACATGATATACTATGACTTAGACCAAATATTGTGAAGTGACTCTCAGGTATATTTAACAGGTAATGATTTGAAAGACTTATTTTGAATTTCATTTCTCTTACAATATTTAGTTGATTATGAAATTCATTACTGTAGAAAAGGTATTATATATTTTCAGACTCTCTCTCTCAATTTATTTTTTTTACTGCCCCTCTTAATTTTTAAGTCAGAAATTCTTCATATCATAGTTAATTACAACTTTTGTGAGCAAACCATTCAAGAAATTTGCTTTTCACTTAGCGAGGAGCTGCCGAGAGTTGATGGTGATGACAGTCCTGGCTCACCCTGCAGGAACTCTGGTGACAATGACAGGATCACTAACTTCACCCATCAAACTTTAAGCAGAGGTCAAGTTTGATGCTTCACTTACTAACTAATTGTCTCTTCCTCTGGGATCTTATATATATATATATATATATATATATATATATATATATATATATATATATATATATATATATATATATATATATATATATATATATATCTTGATAAAATCACACGGGAAAATGGAAACAACGGAGTACCTTAGCTTTCGTCTTTATTCAAGACATCTTCAGAGCAACTGAAGATGTCTGAATAAAGTCAACAAACCTTTTCATTTTAACAGATTATCTTATCCACGTTTTCATTGTGGATTTACATGAAATATATATATATATGTAACCGGTCGGAATTACTGGATCTTAATTTCTCACTGGACTTGAGGTTTATTAAATATTATTAGATGGTAATTGCATTGGGAGCGCCCTTGGAGAAATCCCGAACCAGCACAAGAACACTTAAATTTACTAACAAAATGAATTCTCCGTGACCGTGGAAGGATCGCGTCTGTGATTGGGATGAATGAGGCACACTGTAAAATTTAGGACATATATTCCTCCAACACTACAAACACAATCAAATAATGGTACACCAATATAGCACCTCTTAACTTGAACTTAAAACTACTCTGGGGAATAAAAGTTATACATGATATAAATTATTAGAAACTCAGGCAACAATAAATTTGAAGTATTAAGAAATGTTGCTTGCACATAAAACAGGCCTTAAGGGCTTTCAACAAAATTATATCAAGCACTGAGAAAATGGTATAAAAATATAAGAACTTATTAACCCCCACCTGAATAGGCCTTCAGGGCACTCAACAAAATGATATTACCCCAACAGCTACACACCCCTAACCTACTTAAACACTACTCTGGGGAACAAAGGTTATACCTGAGATTGAAATTATAAAGAAATATATGGATCCTCGTGTTTCGAGCGGATTTGGTAAAAGTTTGCTCTGATTACCTAAGAGCGCAGGTGGTCCCCATTTGAAGTTCACGGCGCCATAAGCTCGTTGAACAGGCTTTGTGTGAAATAAAACAGAGTCTAGGATTGCTTTTAGTGTCCTGGTGGCCCAGAGGTAGCGTTCGGTCACAATAATAAGACCGTGGTTCGATTCCTGTGGGGGTGAGGTGTTGATATACATATATATACTTGGAAATTGTGATTCCCAAAATGTCATTTTTTTTTTCATATAAACGTCAGTAAATTTCTGTAATTCAGGTTATGGATTTTCTGCTGTATTTACGTTGATTTTCTGAAACATTTATTTATGATTTTAGATTACATTAAAACTGTGTTCTTGTTTGCGTGTCGACATTTGTGACAAACTCGCTCCACCGAGATGTTCATTTTTCATCGGTTTTACTGATGTGCGGGCTGCTGATGTCAGGTGTCACAATAGGGTGTGTTGTGCATCACGGAGGCGGATTTTATTTTCAGTTTGAAAAAAAATCGGCTATAGTATTAATGATGTAGTTCTATGTGCAGAATCATGTGATATGCCAGATTTGAAAAATTTTAATTTTTTACTAGGTAAAATTTTAACTTGAAATCTTATGAAAATTCATTATTCACCCTTTTACCAACACCACTAAATAAGCTTATTTAAAGTAAATGAAAATATATCAGGTTAATTTATTAGGATGAAAATGATCCAGAATAGTGAAACGAATGATCTTGACACATTTATTAAATTTAATATTCCTTTAGAAAACAAAATCATCAAATACAAAAACCGGTTTTTTACTACTCGACCGGTGTTGCTGCACACCAGAGAACATGTCTTTCTTGCTTCTGTTTCTACTCATCACCTCCCTGCTGACCACCTGAGCTCGGATGTAGCCTTCCCTCCTCTCCTGGCTGTACCACGTGACTGCTGGCCTCGCTCCTTGCTGCACACAACGCTCTATACTCTGGGTGTGCAGGGGCCAGGCAGGGACATCGTAGGGGTTGTCCAGGAAAGCTCTGACTTGAACATTGGTGAGGCTGCAGGTAGGGGCTCACTGCCAGCCTGGATGTTAGCCAGTCATGAGATCAGTGAGGGGTCTTGGCACCTAGATTGACTTCAGGAGTCTTCCTGACCCTGAAGGAATCGTCATAACTGATTCGTCATGCCCAGATCCTCTCATAAGTCTCATATCCAAGATCTTTTGACTGCCCTCTTCTCTCCTCCTCATCCTTACTGCAGAGCGTGTCTGCAGAACTGCCTCAGGATGAGCATACCAGGAAAAGATCTCCTACAGTCTGCTCCTGGCAATCTGAACAACCTTCCTTGGCTGACTCCTCAGGAGCTCAAGCTGGAAGAGGAACATGCCTCGGACCTTCGGAGAACAGTGACTTGACAGCAGTGTTGAACCAATTTGGCAAGTAGACACTCGCGATAGATTGGACAATAAGTCTCCAGGTTGTGAAGCTGGTTCCCTTTCAGTTTATGATGGGCGACCCAAATTCTGCAGAAACTGAGAGCCGTTGTGAGCCACCTAGAATGTGAGACTGGACCTATCTGCAGGTAAGCAAGTCCTATCAGGCATGACCCCAGTTTTGATGGCACTGCAAATCATGTAACCATAGTACTGGTCAGTACTCAGAATTCGTCAATGACAGTATGTGCAAGCTCCAGCAGTAGAGACGCTGTAGTTTTTCAAAGCTCGGATTTATTTCTAACTCAGTGGCAGAGTCAGCATCTTGCCAAGAGGACCAGACCATCTGTTGTTTGAAGAGAGAGTCTTGCCATCAGCTCCTGGATCAGATGTCTGATGTAGCTTCGTTGGTGTGGAGGGTCTAAACAATCAGACCAACTTCCTCCCAATCTTCCGCTC